ATCCAAAAAGATCCACTGAAAAGGTAAAAACTATTTTCTAATTAATTTCCGATAAAGCAGTTTACAATTATTTTTAACAATAAATTCTGAAAACATATTTTGAAAAAACGTAAACATTTTTCTGCTTGCGTATTGACATCTGAGTTGAATTGTTTGCCGTCATATATGGAATTTTTAAAACTTCTTTATGGGAACATTTAGCAGTATAACACAAACTTTTTCTTCTTAATTAATTTCAGTATCATTTTTAGCTATTCAATAAAAAACGAACAAACAAAAACCCTCAAAACATCTTAGAGTAGTTTTGAAATTAAGTTGTTGACTGCCCAATTAAATGTTCTTTTTTTCTCTGATAAATTTCTTTCTTTTTAAAAAATTTTATTTAGTTATTTATTTAAGTTTTGGCTGCGTTGGGTCTTCATTGTTGCGTGTGGGCTTTCTCTAGCTGCGGCAAGTGGGGGCTACTCTTCATTGCAGTTCACGGGCTTATTGTGGTGGCTTCTCTTGTTGCGGAGTGCAGGCTCTAGGCGTGCAGGCTTCAGTAGTTGCAGCACGTGGGCTCAGTAATTGTGGCGCACAGGCTTAGTTGCGCCGTGGCATGTGGGATCTTCCTGGACCAGGGATCGAACCTGTGTCCTCTGCATTGGCAGGTGGATTCTTAACCACTGGACCACCAGGAGAGTTCCTCTCTGATAAATTTCATTCTTCTCAATTTTTAATCAGTTCAGATATGATATAGTTGTTCCATTTGTCACATGAATACAAACACATTCTCCAAATACCCTGCAGGGGGCCGGTCAGCAGCTTAAAGGAAACAGCTGTTGGTAGTGGATATGCCTTTATATTAGCCCAAGAGGTCTTAGTGATTTTGAGAAGTATCATAAGTTCAGAAAATTCTGCAAGGATTGTTCAGATATAACTTTATGTTCCATTCATATTGATGAGTTCCAGAAAACATTTCTCTCAATGAAGTTTTTATCCTTATTGTTTTTTTGTTTTTTGTTTTTTTTTTGTTACGTGGGCCTCTCACTGTTGCGGCCTCTCCCGCTGCGGAGCACAGGCTCCGGACGCGCAGGCTCAGCGGCCATGGCTCACGGGCCCAGCCGCTCCGCGGCATGTGGGATCCTCCCGGACCGGGGCACGAACCCGTGACCCCTGCATCAGCAGGCGGACTCTCAACCACCGCGCCACCAGGGAAGCCCTCCTTATTGTTTTTATAGTTTGATTTATTGTAAATTTTGTTTAAAAACACATCCAAGTTCTATTTCTCATCCAGAAGGTATAACAGGGACCAGGTATATCCTCCTATCTGAAACATCCAGAATCAAAACTTATGAAACAAAGGTTTGCAATACAGTTCTATCAGGCAGTGAAGTACAGTGATCCCAGAGAGCCAAGAAATAAACTAGGTTAGTCCTATGATTGTCCCAGTTTACTGTCTTGAGATAGTTGTCAGGTTGCTCTGGGAAAAGGAACCCTGGCAGAGCGTGGAAGACTCCTGACTTAAGGACAGAGCTGAGTGTTTGGGGAGACCAAGGCTACTAGAGTTCTCCAGATAGAGTATGGGAGAAGAAAGAGTAGAACAAAAAGAGAATACTGGAGCCCTGTAGAAGGGTCTCTCTTGCTTATTCAGCTGAATATTGATTAATGCATTGTATATGAGGAAAATACCCTAAGCAAGCAAGAAACAGCTGAAAGGATGAGAAGCAACAGTCCCTGGCAGGCACACAGGGCCAGCAATAGTGTCCTTTCCCACCAGCCAGACTAAAAAAACTGTACAGTTCATGGAGAATTAGGTAGAGTCCTCAGAATAGTTAAATCTAAACTAAATGCTGTTCTTTCATACCTAAAAACCCTAAAAGCAAGACCTAAAAGGATCAAATTCTTCACAATTAAATTGACTGCATCCTGGGACTTCCCTGGTGGTCCAATGGTTAGGACTCCGTGCTCCCAATGCAGGGGGCCTAGGTTAGATCCCTGGTCAGGGAACTAGATCCCACATGCATGCTGCAATTAAAAAATGATCCCACACGCTGCAGTGAAGATCCCGCATGCCACAACTAAGACCCTGCACAGCCAAATAAATTAATTAATTAATATTTATAGAAATACAAAATTATACAGCCCTAAAGGTAAAATTTACAGTGTTCGGCACCCAATCATAAATAACCTGGGATACAAAAGAGCAGGAAAATACTATCCATAATGAGGAGAATCAGTTAAAACTGACCCAGAACTAACACAGATGTTAGAATTCGCTGACAAAACATCATAACAATTATTATAATAGTTTTCTATATTTTTAGAACGTTAAGTAGGGTCAGGGAAGTAACAAAAGGACCTGAATCAAACTTCTAGAACTGAGAACTATTTCTTGCCTGACAAATATATGGGTTAGGATTAAAAAGTAGACTACATATTGCAGAAGAAATGACCAGTGAACTTGAAGACATACCAGTAGAATCTATTGAAATTCAAATACAGAGAGAAAGGAGAATTTAAAAAAAGAACAGAATGTCAGTGAGTTGTGGGTGACTTGTAGTGACCTAAAATGTGTAGATGGAGTCCCTGATCAGGGGTAGCGGTGGAGGAGCAGACAAAGTATTTGAAGAAATATTGGATGAACATTTTCCAAATTTGATGAAAACTATAAACCCACAGATTCAAGACTTAAAAATCTACACTAATAACAGTGTGGTATTGGCATAAAGATAGACAAATAGATACATGTAACAAAATAGAGAGGGGAGGATTCCAAAATTTATGAGGACATGTTTAGAAGTAATAGTACATGCATTATCTTTATTTGTTTCATGGATACATAAAAGCATTTCATGGGTACATAAATTTGTCAAACTGTATCACAATTTACACTTTTAGTATAGCCAGATTACTTTATGTCAATTAGATCTCAATAAAGCTGTTAAAAAATAAGACATTTCCTTAAGTGTAAAGCACTCAGAATGGTTTCAGAAATAAAGAAAAACATTCCCAACTGCTTTATAATTTAGTTCTTAAGAAGCTAAAGTTACTTAAAAATATTTTCATATCTAAATTATGCCAGGTTTTAGGCATGGGACATGACTCATTCGTGTTTTTCAGGCTCTGTGCGACCAGTGAAGAAGTATTTATTCAGCACCCATATGATACCTAGAAAGCAAGTACAATCTGATGTGGCTGATGGGAGAAAAGGAAGCTAGTATAACAGAGAAGAGGGTACAGTCATGTTGGGGTGATCAACTCCATTTCACTTACCTGGGCAGTATCAAAATCTTTGAAGGTTCAGTTGATTTCCAGGAGTATTAGTTTTTACATGATAGTGAAATTTATAACTGTACCAATTGTTAGTTTCTTTCCTCTTCAAAATATGATTAGTAATACTACCTATTCCCACCTTAATACTTGTCAAATCTATGTAATCACTTCAAATATTTGCCATTGCCTCTCCTGGAGAGCAGACGGTGATCAAATCACCAAGGAAAAAGAACAAAGTCACTTCAAAGTGGAGTCAGTGGTCTATTAGATAAGTAAAACACTGGGATAGAGGTAGACACTTGCTCCCAGACACTGTTCCTCTTCCCAAATGAATTATCCCAACTCTCCCCAAGAAATAACCAACATTCTGAATTTGAGTTGATCATTGATTTGCTTACTTAAAATTTTTACCCCTTTATTTTCTAAGTAATACTTCTTTGTGAATACTTGTTTAAAAGACAGAATTCCTAGAGAGAAATATGAAATGCAATGCATTGACTGTTTTATGAAATCATACGTTATAAAAATTCATTGTAATATATAAAAGAAAATTTTGAAATGAGAAGAGAACTTGGATTACCTTGACAAACAAGTCACAGTGCAAGTTTATTATTTTAATTTGTAATGTTAAAAATGAAGCTATTCAGAAAGAAATGGTTAGTATTTCCCTTTGGGGATACCATTTTAGAATTCACAACTTTACTAAAATATAGATAACTGAATATTCGACTTGCAGCAGATTTCATCAAATGTGCTATTCTGTGCCAAGTTCTGATAAAGTTCAAATCTTGACCTCTGCTGAGGAAAGCTGGTTACTCTGGACAAGTTAATTTATGATAAGTGTATATAAAACCATAAAATACTCTTCTATTGGCCACTTAGGAAAAAATATTGCAGAACAATTATTGCATATCCAAAATATAACTGTTTAATTACAATATTCTTGGATTTTGAAGTTGCTTACTCCTTAAGCAAATCCATAGGGTGTCTTTAAAATGAAATGATAATGGTATATTCCATTTTCTTCAGTTGTTAGCACATGAATACCAGTCATAAAAATGTTTCTATGTAGTCTGCACACTTTATACCTATATGCTAAGCATTGATACTAATTGGACTTTAATCAAAATTAGTTTATTTCTCACCTATTGATAATAACAGTAATTATACTGGGGAAAAACAAGGTGAAGATGCCCTCTGGATAGGCTAAATAAAACACAGATGCAGAGACTCATCCTTGAACTAATTGAAAATTAAGTATGTGAGAATGTCTTTTTCTAGCCAGGGATATGCAGAGCACCAAAAAAACCCACAAAAAACCTCCTTGTTCTTTCTGTATTTGACAGTGTAATGATAAAAAGGATATGCTAAATAGTTGTCCTATATTTGCTTCTTATGTATTGCAGTTACACAAAATTATACTGAGGAGTTCCTGAGGAAGGTGAAGCTAAGGGCTAATCAGTGTTTCAATATCATTGCTAAATTGCTTACCATCCTATACTTTTATACAGAGTTCTTTCTGTGAAAGATAGCATAGAGGTTGTATAATAAGAGCATAGTGCTACAATGCTGTAATGTGAAACTAGTAATTCTTTTTTTGGTTTGAACAAAATTTAAAATTCTCAGGGAGAGAGAATGACCTTGAACTACCAGTTTCGGGTAATTTATTACAAATTTGAAGGCTTAAAAAGAACATATCTATGGTTGAAATCAAAATATTTTATTTTTTCTTTCTTTGGTTTCAGCCAATCAGAAAATGAGTTGATCCTTTCCCACATCTTGATGTAAATCATCTCTAAGGAGCTTAAGACAATCAAGGAGCAAAACATCCACAAGAGGAGCAAAGTGTAAAGGAAGATGCTTGCAAGAAGCACAGAATAAAGGACTTTTGAGCAATGGCAGGAGCATTTGGCAGGTAATAAACCACCTGGAAGACTGACCTCTAGTAAGTCTTCTAGCCCTATCATTTGTTCAGGAACATGCTTGCACAATGGATGGAAGCCAGGATTTCCATAATCTTTGTGGGGTTGGAGGGCAGGAGCAGCACAGTCCTTGCTAATTAAGGGTACTTCCTCCTCCTTAATACATGATTTTCCCTCGGCTCCCGGGACACCACAGTCTCCTGGCTTTGCTTTCACTCACTGGACATTCCTACCCAGCTACTTCCGGTTCTTCCTCTTCTTTTAGTCTTCTCAGTTCTAGTGTCCCAAGCCTCAGTCTTGGCTCTCCCCTTTTCTCCATCTACATTCAGTTCATCTTCCATGAGCTCATCTAATTCTTTATCTTTAAATAGTATATAGATAGATAGATAGATATAGATAGATAGATGGATGATAGCTCTCAATTTGTCTTTTCATTTTATTTTTTGCCTCTCAACTCTCTCACCTCAAATATAGATGCATGTATCCAATTTTCCTGCTTCTATCACTCCTACTCTGATTCAAAGCATATCATTGTTCTTGTGGATACGTAGTAGCTTCTAACAGGTATCTTTGATTTGACTCTTACAAGCTACCCCCATGGCCCCACTCTTTATACTCAACCTAAGAAACCAGAGTAACTTCTTAAGATGCATAAATCAGATGATGTCTCTTCTCCATTCAAAGCCCTACCGTGGCTCCCCCATTCACTAAACGTAGAAGCTAAATTCCTCATGATGGCTTATGAGGTCTAGGTCACCTTACCTTTCTGACCATAGCTCTACCTCCCTCTCCTCTCTCACTCCATTACAGCACGTTAGCCTCTGTACAGTTCTAGGAATATTCCAGACAAGCTCCTGTCTTCAGACGTCTCTGCCAGCCCTCAGCCTGGAATTTTCTTCTGTCATATTTCTTTTTGAATTTGAGCTACATCTTTCATATCTTTCAAGTTTTCCCCACAGTTAACTTTCTCAACAAAATATACTTTTATCCCTTGTTCAACATTACAACTACCCCATCAACCCATTTTTCCTGATCTCTGATTACTTTTTCCATAGCACTTATCTCCTTATACACAATAGAATTGACCCCCTAATGATGTTTATGGTTTAACATCTGCCTCTCACCACTAGAATATAAGCCAAACAAAAACAAGTATCTTTTTTTGGTGATGTCCAGGTACTAGAACAATATCTTTTGTCAATATTTGTTAAAGGAACAAAATTGGAGAGAGGTAAGGAGAGACAGAACATCAGTATGTTTATAAAAGCTTTCCCATGTCAGCAAAGAAAACAAAGGAAACTGACAGAAGATTCTCATATAGAAGTATTGCAGTTTCAGCATTTGTGCAATTGCAATTCTAGAAACAAAAATAGTGATACTAATTTTAACAGAGTTGGTAAAGATGGTGTAATTAGGAGAAAAGGTTGAATTTTCAAATAATAAATTTCAAGCAATTACAGAGATTGAGAATTTGCCTCTCAGCATAGGACCCAAGTGGGGCACAGGTAGACATGTGTGGTGCACAGAATGAGATAAAAACAGAGAGTAGATAGAATATAACACTTGGAATGAAATAGAAGAGCATATGCCCTAGAATTGTAACAGAGATGGCTACCGCTAATCTCTGACAAGGGATATACCAATGATTTATTTGAGAGGCAGTACATCAGGAGGCTAAGAGCATAATTTATGGAACCAGGCTGCCTGGTCCAGCTACTTATGAGTTTTGTGATATTGGCCAGTAATTTCACCTCTCTGTGTTTCAGTTTTCTCATCACTGAAGTGAATAGAATAATAGCACACCAGATTCATAGAGATGTTACTAAGATTAGAAGAGTCTATATGTGTCAAACACTTAGAATAGTATCTGGCACATAGTGAAAGCTGTGTAAGTATGAATTATTAGCAGTAGTAGCAGTAATAGTTACCCACTGTAGTGATGCATAATATAACGACATCTAAAACGGTATTTCCTGAAGGGGTCTCTACACAGAATTCCAGATTCACATATTCGGTGGCAATCAAATGTGATTTCCAGTGTCTTGGTGAGAGACACTGTTAAAGGAAGGGCTGTGGACAAATAAACTTGAGAAACATAACATACTATATGCACCTCTTTTGGAGATTCATTTCTACAAAGATCTGCCTTGTCCTGTACTAAAGAAATCCAACTAACTCTGTTTAATTAAACAGTTTCCCCAAAACATTTGATTTTGGAAACCTCAGTTATAAAACATCTACTAACGTTCTATATTTATCCTTAAGAGGGAACTGACACATTTATATTTGAAATATTCATACCCTGAACAGTGACTTTCTTATATTGAATTCATACTGTTTTATTACCTTGCTAACTGACAACCTTCTGATTCTGTCAGTGTTGTTATTTATATAGAAGTGCTTGAGCCATCGTATTAATCTCTTCAATGTGCTTTCACTATAAAAAATAAGTATAAATTGAAATATATTTGTGAATAAAAATAAACATTAATTATAAACAAAAATTAAAATCGCAATGATAAAAAATTTTCCAAATAATACTGAGGCATTGAGGCAAAACATTAAGTATGCCCAAATGGCTGATTTTTAGCCTCAGCTGTTAATTCAAATTAATGTAGTCTAGTCTATGAAAAAAAAGTGCAGTATTAACAAAACCCAGGATGTATATTATTAAAAAGTATATTGAAAATCTGAGATTTAAAGAAAGGGTTTTTTAAGTGTTCCAGGGAAGATGACACTTTCACATGACAGCTTTTCATCCTACTTAAAATAAAAATTAAAGCCCCCATAATTAAGCCTCCTCTTATGTATTCGACCACACCTCCTACCAATCTCCCCTTCTCTTACTTTGCTGCAGTCACACCAGGCTCCTTGCTGTCCCTTGCACACGCTGGACCTACTCACACCATCAAGCCTTAGTACATGCTGAGTCTTGCGCCCACAATGCTCCTTTTTTCCCCAGTGTCCCACAGATCTCCCTTACCTACTCATGTCCCTGCTCAGCTGACCCCTTCTCAGTGTGGGCTTCTCAGGCCTCCATCTTAAAATAGCCCCTGCACTTTCATTCGTCCTTCACTATTTTCCAAACCACTCTCATAAAATCTTTCATATTATGTATCTTAGCTGTTTTTGTTTCCTAACTTTCCCCACTAGAATATTAGCTAGTAAAGGGCAAATAATTCTTGTCCATTTGAACATTGATTTACCCTTTTAGACTAGAACAGTTCCTGGCATATAGAAGACACTGAATACTTGGTGAATAAATGAATGATATATTAAAGATGAAAATAAATTTAAAAATATTATTCAGATAAAGATGTTTTTCATAGTTTTAGCTGCTAAGCAGACATTTCCCCTATCTGTCCAATAGGGAATTTGTCCTAGAACCCTTCTCTCCATGAGTAGTGCCACCCAAGTTCCCACGCCACAGTCAGGAAGGCACACTGAATCTCTCTCCCTCTGTTCCACTGCCTCTAATCGTTCGTGGGGAATGCAGTATATCATCCTAAATATTTTTCATACTGACCCTTTTTTACTGCTGCTGCCACTGCTGGTCATATTTTATTCAGAATTTTATAATAATTTACTTAATGTCCCCTCTACCCCATTCTATCTATACCACTCTCATCCCCTTAATGCATGTAACAAATATACTAGACTTACAGACCAGATCATGGCTCTTCCTTCATCAAAATTCTTCCATGGTCCTATATTGTCTATAAAAAGAAGGGAAAAAAATAAACGATTTCCGTACCATGTGAGGTCTCATACTCACTTCCTCTATATTTCTGCCCTCTAGTCATAGTGATTTATGTATGGTTCCTTGACCTTTTCCACTCTGTGTGTTTGCATATACTGTTCCCTCTGCTTAGAAGACCCTTTCCCTCCCAGTTGTCCTAATGCTACTTCCTAACTCATACCAAGTAACTATTCTATGAGGCCTGCTTAGAACTCACCAATGACATTCTTTCTCCTCCTATGTCAACTTTGAAGCAATGTTCATGCTATTGTAATTCCTGTTTTAAACTCCTCCATTATGTTGTGAGGCCCTCAAAGACAAGGGACCTATTATATACTTTTAAAAAAATTATTTTTAATTTTTAGCATATCCTTCAATGCTTGGCTCATAATATGGTCATAAGCATTGAATATATGAAGAACATTTTAGTGCAAATGAGACTAATTTCACTCATGTTATATTTGTAAACCCTCTGGTTTATGTTTTTAAATGCTATGTAAACTTTAGTTCCTCTAGTGTTCCTTGGATAATATTCATATATCTATGAAAAGTCTTGCTTTCCCTAAAGCTAAACTTTTGAAAATAATAAAAACTTTGAAATACATTTTACAACAAAAAATACCTCTTTTTCTTCCAAATCATAAAAGATAACATGAGAAATGGAAGTTTTCCCCCCAAATATAGCTACAATTACTCATAGGGCCTCTGAGTCGGTCTCCTTAACGCCACAGCTACGATTTCAGGGAAATGCAGTGCTTTGTTTTCTGTGCTCTGTTATGAGACCACAGGGAGCTATAGCTGCACAAAGAAGAGGATCAATTAAGAGACAGAGCATTCTTTCTTGATATTGTGGGAACATGGTCTCTACATGATTTTTAATTCTGTTTTTTAATCAGTCTTCAGAGAACATTTCATTTAGATTTATGTATTGTGGCAGCCATGAAAATGTGCTACTCAGATCTCCTGCTGTGAAGAGTATAATGGACTGTTGGCCCCAGCTGCTGCCCCTCTGGATCCAACGTTGTATTTGTTGCCAAGCCCTGCTTCCCATGGCCCGCTCCCAACCAATGACTAAACCTGCTGCCATACTAAAGCTGGCTTATTGAGTGAGATGCAGGACTCCCCTTACGGATGACTTTGGCTTGAGGACTCTGTATGGGCCTGACCAAATCTTTCTTGCAACTATGCTGGAGACATTCTACTCAATCCTCCTTCCTTCCCCCTCTCATTTCACAGGCATCAGACCTG